TTTTTTTTTTCGCTTTGCAAAATGTCTTTGTCGTAGGGAATTCGTGCTGGGCAGAATAACTGATATTGTTTCTCGAAAAACGTGCCCAAACGACCTGCTGGTATTCGGTTCAGTCACTTTCAGTGCTTAATCCTCAGTTTTTAGCATTTCACTAAAATTGCTTAGACCCTCCAAACAAACATTCGTAGACATTCGATCTTATGATGTTACTGGAATGTACTAAAACGGGAGCCATAGCTGTCTTTGATCCTTGATCGCTGTGTTCAAGTGTATTTGCATGCGCGTTTTCTTTTTTTAAATCGGCCATTATTTAGATTTGAAGCCTGAAAATGCTCACTTATTCTACAAGGAAGAAGTTGAGGAACTTTTGAAAACAGCACGAGGTAATTCTGCTTTTTCAGACGTTTATTTGTTATTGCTCCTTTGATTACTGTTGATGTTGTTATCATTATGACGGTGATATTACTACCAGTATTACTGTGATTATTATGTGCTTATGATTTAATATATGCTTTATTTTCGAGCTGACTGTTTAATTTCTCAGAGAAGGACGATGAAGTGGGTATCACTTCAGAAACGATGACGGAAGAGGAGAAAGCTGCTCGTCTTAGGATGTTTGCGAGGGCCCAAAGAAAAAACTTGAGGAAGAAGGTCGAAGTAAGCAGTGTTGTTTTCCTAAGCTTATTTATATTCACTGTGAAGATGGCTTTTTTTGTCGAGGTCTAATGATTTACTGAGAGTTGTGGTCCCTCACATTTAGGAGTAGACAAGTTGGCAGAAATGTGAGTGAATGAAAATTTTAGAAAGCCTAATTGGAATGAAGCAATTTATGCCTATATTGCCAATAGTCAAAGTCAGTACTCCTCTGTACTCTGAAAGAAGCGGAAGTAGCTCGAATGGTGGCATGAACTTGCGTCAGACACTTCGCCGACAAGACTTCTGTTTCTTTCGAGAGCTGCTTATAAACAAGCTGATGGCAGTTTTGACTCTCTAACATGCATCAGTGCCAGTTCACTATCAAAACCGTATAAACCGATTTTAGAGACGATCTCGAGCCTCAGATCTTCAATACAACAGCATTATTTGCCACTGCGCCGTGCCAGCCATCTGTGAAAATATGATTTTGAAAAAGTTTTCCTCGCCGGCGAAGCAATTTTTCTAGTGCATAATTTAGAGTTACTGTATCACTGGATTGTGAGATGCTGCTTTTTGTAGCGTTATTTGCGATCACTGAAACCTTCGAAGAAACCAGAAACCCGTGATGGGCTATTCTCGGATGAGTTTGGTGGATTGCGAAATCAGTTGCTCATTTTCAAAAATGCTTTGGAAGAGAAGATTCGTGAGACCGGCCTCATCCAAGGTACGATTTGTCGCTTCGGCATCTTCATCTTTTGCGTGAAAAATTTTACAAAATATTTGCCTTGCCGGTTCCTTAATTCATAACTGCCCCTAAACAGGCCTTTCACATTTGTTGCTAATGAATGCAGTGTGCTTATTCGCAACAGTAGTGGTCATATCTGACTTTTCGTTCGAAAACTTTGGTACTTCAAGGGTTGTTTTTCTTTTTTTTTGTTTTAAGTGCTGTTTTCTTTTGTCTTAGCTTTGATTAATGGTGTGATAAACAGCTGCTGTTGCATCATGGTTTTCGTTGGCATCAGGACCCATGGTAGCATTTGTAATTCGTTTCTTCCTATTTTTACTCATTTCTGTAAGCCACACTTGCCTTAAACTTGACCCAAATATGCTGACTTTTCCATCGCACTTGTAATCTCCTTTTTTTTTTGCCAGAAAAAGTCGTAATTCCTGTCTGTGCTTACTTTTTAATGAGTGGCAGAAGCATTATTTCGGAGGTAGCAAATGCCAACAGCAACCGCTCGCTGGCAGGATTATCGATGGTTTTCTTTTCCGGGGATTACTTAGAAGCAGGCTGAGTTGATAACTTTCCAGGAGTGAAGCAGCACAAAGAGGCAGACTAAACGGAAAAAATAAAAACTGTCTGCTGAATTTTAGGAGCGGAAGTGAAGGTACAGTTGGTTTCTCCGTTTGGAAGCTTTACTTCTGGCGGTGGTGGCCTTGGAGATTCAGAAGATATGCGTCTCAGTGCTGTGCTCAAGGCATTCCTTTCGGAGCAGACTGGTGTTAGCGATGAGGAAAATCGCTATGATCGCTTGGCACGAGGCTACACGTACGGCGCAGATGAGGAAGCACGAGAACGGGTGCGACAAAATGCTAACGATGAGGATGACTGGAAATCAAGCATATTGCCTATTGTAAAGCGAGTCATGCTCTAGCA